ACACATTAGCTTTGCATTCCAGTCCTGCATTCTAAAGTACAGACCTCCGCTTTCCTTCCACCGTGACCGAACTAGCGCAGTTTTTTTGTTGAAGAAAAACTACTATAAGTGACAACAATAAGATCAAGAAATTCCTATAGGTGTGAGTTTAGCCGCTTCATAATGATCGGGCAGCCAACGTTCCCTCTTGCACCCATCACACCTCTCATGACGAAATTCAGAATAAGACGGTGTAATCGGAGACAGTAAGACACGCCTTTGGAAATGGAAACAGTAGGCAAAGCTTTAGAACATTTTCCTCAATCCTTAGGTATTCGTACCATTTTGAGGAACTATAGAAGAGCCCTATGGTAAGCCAAAAAGCACAAAATGCAGATGCAGTGAAGTCGATAACTAGCAATTATATGAGGCAGGCGATTGTCACAGTGCATTCCAAATCTCAAATGCAAAGTACTGTAATGTGTAGGATTTGACTTTTTCATATTTTTCAGCATATACGATTACCCTAGAAGCAGTATCATAACAATCCCAGCACATTAACACCATCTTAAGAACTAAGTTGCCGATTGAGTTTTCTTAACTGTTCTCCAGTTTAATCATTTTCAATCCGAAGCAACCAAAATTAGGGGAAAAGAAGTGTAATCTCTAATAAATACTAATAATAGACTACCAAACTTTCTTGTTTCTTAGAAATTCTGATTTTGATTATTCCTCAATCCAAAGTCATTCAGGATCAATATGGTTCTGACGAACTGTTACTTCCATCTTTGCAAGCTTCTGATGAAATCGACATGCCTGGACGCTTTGATTACAATTGCTCGCGGAAAGGTGATGCTGGCAATATAAGTAGGTAGGTGGTCGGCTAGAAAAGGGTTAAGCAAAAGCCTATTAATTCAGAATATGTCTTTGGGTAAAGAATGATGACGACACATGCTTATCTCGGCGCGTTCGGCACAGTATCTGCATCCTTGGAGTGGAGCATCTTTCCTTATTGGCAGAGACGCCGCATATCATGGCCAATAAGGTAGAGTTCGGTTTTATTTGAAAGCATGTGGCCTCCAACTTGGTTATAAAATGTTGTGGAATACTGGTCAACCATCAGATTTTGTCTGGTACTAAAGATCTTTACTATACAGCGCGTATATTTGGTTGGTGGCTTTAGTTTGAACCGATCATGAAGTTTTTGTCGCACGTTACCCTCAATTGTTGATGGAATAACAAAAATCCTAAGCTTTTTTAGATTCAACTAAGTGGTGATTAGAAAGAGCGTGATGTTTGTACTACTAGTGCTCTCGTTTCAGCTTGCAAAGCTTCGCGACTTTTCCCCGAAATACCTGCAGTGCTTTTAATAATTCGCCCACTCTCATTCGATTAAGAAAATTTGGTTATTCTTAGAAAGTTTCAAACTTGTTGGGACAGTTACTCAGTGTAGATCTCTGTGACCACTATCATCAAAACTGCAGCAAAAAGT